CTCACACAGTATGGCAGGAGACCAGCCCGGGCCATCAACTGCAAACTGTAATAATTTGTATGTTCAGTTCATTTTCCTTCTCCTTTCAGTAATGAAAGCTTTTGTTAAACGACCCACACACCCCATGTCTTTGTATGTAATAAGTTATTTTTGTCTAATGTATATTTTCAGCCTTCGGGCTGCAGAATTTTTTCAATAAACCGTTAAATATTATTATAATTATAATTATTATTATTATTATTATTACACACACACATCTTTTTTTTTTTTTGCACATTTCGTGTAAGCCATGTCAGCTGACTCCTAATTGCATAGTTTGCTAACATTATGAATTTGTTGTTGTATAATTCCAACATTTGTGAACGTTCCCAACACGATATCACATCCTGCAACTCGTTGGACGACGACAACAAAACAATAATATTTGATCGACTGTTGTCACGGTCAACAATACAAAGCAAAGCACTGATCGACCGTTGCCACACCAGAGGGCTTGACGCTTTAAGCTTTGGCGAGGGATTTGGGTTGGACCATTCAACTGTGCTTGCTTCCCTTTGTGTTGGCCAAGTTGATAGACGAGTTATAGGAACACAACCTGGATTATCTCCACCTACAAGATTAATCGACGAGGACCTGTGGAACCAACGATAACCTGCGGAACTGACGAGAACCATTGAAACAAAGGTAAAAACCATTATAATTTCTAGAGCCTGAATAAGTTCTGCTCGAAACTAAATGTCTGTAGTGTTAGTAAGATGCAATAAAAAGTAAATAATAAAAAAGTCTGCTCCCTGATAAAGCAAGCCTCACGATTAAAAGTTTATTCCCACCCCATAATAATGTGAAAAAAATAAATATAATTGTTAACTTAAAGCTCGTTAACTTTTATGGTCATTTGAAAGTAATTTTAAATTTTGCCTTAGTGAATTTTAGCAATTTTCTACCCGACATAAATCTTAAATCTAAATGTGCATATTTAAAATCACCTGAGTATAAACCTTACCTAGTATAACAAATGCAAAATATGGTGAGGTTTCAAACAATCGAGGCTTTGTACTTACCATAGACGCTTCTGAAGTTCTAACCTGTAAAATTATAAACCACTGTCAGAAACAAATTTTTACTACAATACATTCATTTAAAATAAATCTTGTAAATAATAAACCCCATCACAATACAGTAGTTTAACTTCTTTAACACTACTGCCATGCTAAAAAAAATTTCACTCACTAAAATTTGTAAAGTTCTGTAATGCCACATTTGTTATTATATCAACGACCTTCATCCCAGATCATAAAAAAAAACTTCGGCCAGTTATTAATGTGATTTCTCACCTTTACTACTAAATCACAATATTATTTTTAAAAATTAAGGATGAAATTTTCAATACTTTTAAGAACCCCCATAACCCGCCTCCCCCTCACACACCGGCCCCCGTCATCCCTCGGCCCTCTTCTCCCCCTTATTTGTGAATGCTTCGGATTCACGAGTCGATACTCTCGAGGTTCATACCTCATGGAGAAGGTAGATTGACAACTCTGACTGTCCCCAACTGTACCATAAAAAATAAATAAATATATAAAAAAAATAACATTACTGTAGGCACCAGATGGAGTGAAGATAAACGAGCATTCATTTCGGAAAGTTCCATAAGTGTATTATTGTAGGTGGAGGGAAAGACCAGGTGCTGTTGACTGTTCATGCTGGAGCTGTTTTATGGTAGAGTCTTAGTTAGCTGAAGTATTCTCCTAGCGTGACCTTACATCTTGGAGGTAGATAACAAACACTGGTGGTACACGCAGGCCGGATTGTTCATGACGTCCTATTTCAGCGCCTGAGAACTTCGCCAATATCTCATATTTTTAAGTTCCATCCAGCAAAAACTTTCACCACCACCAACCGGCTGTGTGTCACGTCTCTTAACAAGGACCTAAATGGCTTTTAGTACCTTCTATGGTTAATCTGTATAGAAATATTGCCTTCTTAGATTATTTAACCTGATGGTGTTTACCCAATTAAAAAAAAATAACTTGTGTGATATTCCTCTGAATTATCATCATTTCACGCTCATACTCTCAAACTATAATATACTACCTATCACAGGTAAAATACTGCCTGTTGGGTTGAGCACCTGAGATACCATAGTTGAATTATTGTGTATAGAAGGATTTCACTCGTGTGTTCCATTTTCTCTGTCAGTTTACATCACTTTCTTATCTCTCTCTCTCTCTCTCTCTCTCTCTCTCTCTCTCTCTCTCTCTCTCTCTCTCTCCTCGCCTCTCGCAGCTGCCTTCCCTCCCTCAGTGTCACCCATGTCGACTCACACACTTGCCACCACACTCATCACTTAGTCATGTTTACAGCCACATGTTTATCGCTCCAGCTCTTAGTCATCATACATTATTCATCATCTCTCAAGACACAACTAGAATGTTAAAATATTCATCCATGTTATCACACAAACATCCTAGACAAAACCATTTTCTAGTCTTCTCGAAAACATCCACCTAAGCTGCTAAATTATTCCCAACATCAGATGGTTTAAGAGAAGGCAAATACCTCCTACAAATTACCTCCCGAGTATTCCCACTTTTCACCAGTAATACTTTAAAGGATTCTCTCGCAGATTTTTCACAAGTCTAATGAGATTTGGAGGTGTCGCCGTTTACTCAGTTAACTTATTGAAAGACAGTATTTGTGCTGTTTACTTTTAGCGTGTGGAGGGAAGTGGCAACGGGGAACACCTAACTTAATTTCACTTCATAATCACCTGGAGGTAAATCCCCAGTACATCAGAGGAATAAGCTAGAGATCTAATGGGAAGATATATTATATTAAATTATATCATTAATGTAGTTGTTTCTTCATGTTGGTTAATTAATGACGAAATGAAAGTCAGTGTGCCATTTTTTATACAAATGGTCCTTCCCTTTATTGTGTTTCAATGATGTTTATTTTTCCTCTTGTTTATCAGATTATCATGCATAACCATTTGTCGTTTATGTAAATTTTTCCATATGTTTAACTCTTTTCCGTTGTCATTTCTTGTTGTCAGAGTATTACAATAATTCCCAGTTATCTTCTTTATTGCTCTTCCAGTCTTTTTTTATTGTACCTCTCCTTCTTCCGGATTATCCAGGATACGACTTCGCTCTCTCTTCCTCTTTTATTTTTCTTATTTTTTCTTCAGCCATTTCTGAAAGTTAGGGCTCGATCTCTCAAATCAATCTCAACCATTGTGTTTTCTCCTCAGCCTTCTCCTATCAGCACGATGGTGAGCATTTTTCTCTCACCACCGTTACTTCTGACATCCTCTTGATCTATTACCTTTGAAGTCTTTCTCCTCGGTGGTAATTAAGTCAGCTGTGTTATTTACTCCTGCTTCGCCTGAGTTACCTACGCTTACTACTCTACTATTTACCTCAACTGATGTACACAAGCATAACTATGAAAGGAAAAAAGAAACGTTTCATGTATGATCTTACCACTACATGACCATATCATATTTAGGAGGAAAGTTTCTACATAAACCCCCTAAGAACCCTGGCCCTGGACCCTAAGGGCAGCTGGGTATTAACTTCCTGACGGGGACTTACAGGGTAGTAACCTAAGGTAGAGCCTCTTAACCCTTCACTGAGGTCAGGTAAGTTTATTAATGAGGCCTCGTACACACCTGAAGTTATGATATACCTTTGGTGCTTTCATCAGTCTTACGTAAGAGAAAAAGTGAGGATAAACACACGGAGACAAAAAGATAAGAGAGATAAGGAAAAAGGTTGATAAACAAAGGTGAATAAGGGAGAGCTATAAAGAAAGACAAACAAAGAGAAGTAAACAGAGAGAGAGAGACGAACGGAAGATAAGCAAATGCAGGTAAAGAGATAAGAGAGATAAGGAAGACGGTGGTTATACAAAGCGAACAAGGAAGAGAGACTGACAAAGACAAACAGAGAGAAGTAAATAAAGAGAGAGAGAGAGAGAGAGAGAGAGAGAGAGAGAGAGAGAGAGAGAGAGAGATGGTTGTATCCGCCTGAAGGGAAGGATAATTACATAAGGTTGTAGGTAATGGTAGACTACTGAGGTGAAATATATTATGGGGGGAAGGAGAGAAAACAAGAGAGAGAGAAATAGGAGACAAGAAGCGAGGAAGAGAATATTGAGATATATGAAAAGAGAGAGAGAAAGAAGAAAAGGATAGAAATAAAAAAAAATGAATAATAGAATAAAAAAAATTAATCAAACGAGAACGGCAGAGAAGGAAAGAGAGAGTTAGAGACACAGGGAGAAAGAGAGATAAGATACAGCATTAATCTTTTCATCACACTTCCCATTCTTATCTTGGTTGTTTCACCTGTAATTACTGACTTCCATCGCCTTAATTAACCTTATCTATAAAACAATCTTAGGTAGTGGACTATATATGAGAGCGTGAGGGCCGTTCAGCACATTCTTTTTTTTTTATTCTGAATTATTTTTTCCTTGCCACATATTAGTTGCTCTTGCTGTTCCATTTACTCGCATTTTAAGCTCCTTCTCCTTGGTGTAAAATTGTTTAATATTTATTATCTTTTATTTTACAACATTGAGCAGGAATTTTTCTATCCTCCATCACTAACCTTCCGCCGGAAAGTTTCATTATAGACTTCTCTTCCTCCTCATAAACACGCAGTTTTTTCTTCTCCTTGGGAATGGAGTATTAATCTTCTTGCTACAATGAGTAATACCATCTCGTCCCTATACCTAAGAATATTAATCTCCTTTTTTCATTCTCCCTGGAACAGATGACTACCTCCCCTCTACCCCTCCTTCCAGGGAGTGTAACACAAAGTAAAAGGAAGCGTAAACTTATCGTCCCTGGAGGCGCGAAGGACTGACCTTCCTTTCCTCTTTACAAAATTATATACGAACTTCCCTTTGTTTAACAATAGTGAGTAATAGCTTCCCATCCTTCTTGACACGGAGGAGACTTATACTAACGCTTCTCTCCTCTCCCCACACAGGCACGGAGTACGTGGTGGGGGTGGCAGGCGGGCGTGCCGAGCTTCCGTGCCACATGCACACGGACGAGCCCCGCGACCGTGCCACCCTCGCCCTCTGGTACCTACAGGGCAACCGCCTCCCCGTCTACAGGTGAGACCAAGAGTTTTTACAATACTAAACCAAGGACTTGTATTAGACCTTACCAAAGGCTTGTATTAAACCAGACCAATAGGTTACACAAGGCTGGATCAAAACCTTACTCAAGGCTAGACCAAGGACTTGTATTAGACCTTACCAAAGGCTTGTATTAAACCAGACCAATAGGTTACACAAGGCTGGATCAAAACCTTACTCAAGGCTAGACCAAGGACTTGTATGGGAATAAAAACCTAGGCCTTAAATACGTCTACACCAGGTACTGAGTGAAGGGTGAGACCAAATAATACAGTAAGACCGAGGCCAAATGTGATATTAATACTAGATCAATACTAAGAGCTACAGATTAAATACTCATATAAATCTTACAAATGGTCACAAATCCCAAACATCGACCCCTAATTTCTGTGAGCGTATGTCAGTGTGTTTCCGTGTGATATATACAGTATGTACGTTCATGTGTGGATTTTAATAACATGAAATCAAAAGATCCAAATATAAAGACCCAAAACAAGTCAAAATATGCAGCTAACTATGCCACGTCATTAAGACCTGAAGAAGATATGAGACCACGTTAAGTACAGATCAAACATTAATTAAGACAAGTGTAATTGAAGAGGTAACTAATTAGATAATGTTAAAATTAATATCAATGCTCGTCTTTCATTAATATTTAAATTACTGAATTTTCTTGATCTCATTGCAAATTTCTAGCTATTTCTCTGAGGCTACAGAAAGATAGAGACAGAGGCAGAGACAGACAGAACAAATAATCCGACCAAGAGTTATGAGATAAAAGTTGATCTGCTAAAAAAAAGAAATGCACTTGGGACAAAAAGTTCTAACTTACGAGACGAGTCGAGAAGAATAACAAGAACCAGAAGAGGCAGGAACAGGTAGAGGGCCGTAGTGAAGGTGTTGGTCTCCTTGTAAGATAGATAAATAGATAGACAGATAGATTGATAGATAGACAGACAGACAGACAGAGAGAGAGAGAGAGAGAGAGAGAGAGAGAGAGAGAGAGAGAGAGAGAGAGAGAGAGAGAGAGAGAGGGAGACGTGGTTACTTTCACCCAGTAGTATCAGGTGTGGGGGAGGATAATGAGATGATTTGTAAGGATAAGAGGTAAAGGTACAGGTGAACCTCAGCTCCCTCACCCCTCTCCCCCTCCTGAGGCCCAGCAGAAAAGTGTATTGGTGATGAGAGAGAGAGAGAGAGAGAGAGAGAGAGAGAGAGAGAGAGAGAGAGAGAGAGAGAGAGAGAGAGAGAGAGAGAGAGAGAGAGAGAGAGAGAGAGAGAGAGAGAGAGAGAGAGAGAGAGAGAGAGAGAGAGAGAGAGAGAGAGAGAGAGAGAGAGAGAGAGAGAGAGAGAGAGAGAGAGAGAGAGAAGAGAGGACTGATGAAACAGCAAAAATAATCGAAAGAAACACATCGAGAAAAGTAAACACAAAAGACAAAAACAGATGGAAGGAAAGGGAGAAATATACAGACAAACAGGAAAATAAATCAACGAAGGATAAATAGTAAAAAAGAACCAAATAAAAATGTTGGCAGGAGGAAAAAAAACCAGATAGAAGAAGACATCGTGAAAGGTAACTATAATTTTTTTTTTACGTCAACTTTTCCTCTTTTAGTTTTCATTTTTCTTTGTGTCTTTCTTCCCTTCTACCGTTCCCTCTCTCTCTGTAGTTTTCCTTCTCTAAATTTGTCTGTTCATTTATGTGTCTTTCCTGTCGTATTTTACCCATATGACTCTTCCTATCTATCTATCTATCTATATATCTATCTATCTATCTATCCATCCATCCATCTATCTATGTTTCTCCCATATTTTTTTTCGAATTTTATTTCATCAAATTCCTTTTCTATTCCTTCTTCCTCGCTAAGCTTTTTTTTTGTTCCTTTTACTTTTATTTCCTTACTTTCTGTTGCAGTTGGACCCTATCTTTTATTTTTTATTTGGCTTTAACTCTTATATTTTTATTTTTACTTACTACTCTTTATTATTCATTATCTCCTCTTGCTTGTGTTTCCCTGTTCTGTTTTATCACCCTCTATATCCTTTTGTTTACAGTTACGTAATATTGGTTTTTTTTTACCTGAGTTTTCTGCTCTTCTCTGCTCTTTCACCTTTAAAGTTTGTTACAAAGTTTCTCTATCTATCTATGTATCTATCTATCTGTCTGTCTGTCTGTCTGTCTGTCTGTCTGTCTGTCTGTCTGTCTGTCTGTCTCTGTAGTACGCACCTATCGTTGCTTAACCTATTTCTTCCTGATTATTCCATTATCCATTATTTCATCTATTCTTTCATTATATCATTATTCCATTTTTCCATCTCTCTTTTCTTATCCTTTGTCCATATTTTTATAAGTGATATTTTATTTACTACTATTCTAAGTGTAGTTTCGGCTGTATGATTCCACTTGTAATGTGTGGATTTCGATCTTAATTTCAATTCAAATCTCTAAATCTTCCAATATGTTTATATTATATTTGTTTGAGTAGGATTTTTCTTCATGTTTTTCACTCGCTCTATGTATATACGTATTCATACTTCTATGCATAAAAGGAAAGTTTACCTCCACCTGAATATCTACTGGAAAAATCTGCCTTTCATCTCTCTTCTCCTAGTCTCCCCCCCCCCCTCACTCCTCTCTTCCTTTCCTCCTACCTCTCCTCACTCTCCCACTCTTCTGTCTCTCTCTTTCTCTCTCACCCTTCTGCCTCCCTCTCTTTCCCACCCTAGTTCCCTCTTTCTCTCTCACTCTCTCTGTCTCCCTCTCACTCTTCCTTCCTCTCTCTCCTTCCAACCCTTCCTCCCTCTCCCTTCCCTCCCTCAGCTCACCCACGGGTCAGTATTCATCCAGGGAACTTGTAGCAGCAATCATGGCAGTAAACATAATCTATATATAATTTTTTCTCAGACTTCTACCAACACAGAATTCTTTGTGGATAAGAAGAGGCGAAGATAAAAAAGTGAGACAATGACGATAAAGCAAAAAAAATACGAAATGAAGTGGAATATGATTTAAAATGAGAAGATGGAATAACATTAATAGTGTTAAAGTGTGGAATAATAAACATATAATATTAATGAGACTTAAAAAAATAGAAGAAAGGAAAAGAGAGAAAACGAAAAGGGGAAGAAATTTAAGGGGGAAAATAACTAAAGGAAATAGTGAGGAATAAATTTAAAGGAAAAGGAGAAACAGGTTAAAGAAGGAGATTTGTAAAAATATGTTCTGTTTCCACCTTTATCAAAATTGAAATTTAATCTGTACTCATTCACAAAACAAAACTAAACGATTACAGCCCTTTAACATCCGTGATAAGCTCCTCTGAATTATCATCTTATGACCCTTGAAAGGAAGACATGAAAAACACCAACATATTTTTAACTCACGAAAAAACCTGACCTAAACTTTCATCACTGAGTTTAGATAAAGATCCTCTACAGTGACTACGTAAAAGACATTTCAAGTTGCCCCTTTTATGTTGGCAAAGGAGGAGTGTAAGTGTGTTGTGTGTACATAGAGAGCTAAGTCTCTTCAACATGATGGCTGGAGACTCAAGAACCCTTTTGTAAGGTGTGTGTGTGTCTTGGTGTTTACCTTTGTGCTGGGGTAAGACGGCTGTAAATAGGGAGGTAGGGAGAGACAGAGAGACAGACAGACATAGAAGGAAGAAGGTGTTTAGACAGAGCAGAAAGGGATGAAAGGGTAACATTACGTGATAAGGGAGGTGAGAGAGAGAGAGAGAGAGAGAGAGAGAGAGAGAGAGAGAGAGAGAGAGAGAGAGAGAGAGAGAGAGAGAGAGAGAGAGAGAGAGAGAGAGAGAGAGAGAGAGAGAGAGAGAGAGAGAGAGAGAGAGAGAGAGAGAGAGATGAAGTAGAATGTATTATTAGAGGAGGAAAAAGAGACAGACATATTGACAGAGAGAGACATAGGAAGAGAGAACTTTGTGAGAAGTGAGAGAGGAGGGGATGAAGAGGTGGAAGATTAAGAAGGAGAGGAAGGCCAGGGTAGATCCAGTGAGTTAGTTCTCTATTGGAGGAGTCAAAAGGAGAGAGTTAGTGTGGGAAGGGAGAGCGAGAGAGATAAACGAGGAACCAGTAAAGTAAACGAAGAGGCAAATCTAAGAGTCATTTTGGAAAGGAGAAATAAAACGGTGCAAAAAGACAAGATCCAGAGAGATAAGAGAAAAAAATGAAAACTGAGAAATCTAATTTACGAGAATAAATAGAGACAGGAAGAGAGGAGACATGCAATTGAGAGACATTGTGTAAAGGAGAAAATGAGTAGTGAAGATAGAGTGAGAATGGATGGGGGAAGAGTATTAACTGTCAATGGAAATGCTTTCTAAAAAAAAAAGTTAAATTAACTAACTTTTTTTTTTACACAGTTCGGGGAAAGGTTGTAGGTGAGAATGAATTTTACCGGAGCGCTGTATAAATTTTTTAGGAGCTTGAATTATGTGAATAGGTTAATAATCTCTTAATTATTATTATTTTTAACTAATTTGTTTTGTGTGGGTGTCAGTCGCTTCTTTCTCTCTGTCTCTCTTTCTCACTTTCTTAGTCTCTGTCGTGTGTTTTTCTTTCTCTCTTCCATCTCTCATCCCATCCTGTTCCATCTCTCCTCCCACCCTCTTCCATCTCTCCTCTTACACTCCCCCATCTCTCCTCCTATCCTCTTCCATCTCTCCTCCCATCCTCTTCCATCTCCATCTCTCCTCTTACACTCTTCCATCCCTCCTCCCACCCTCTTCCATCCCTCCTCCCACCCTCTTCCATCTCCTCCTACACTCCTCTCTCCTCCCACCCTCTTCCATCTCCTCCCTCCCCCATCTCTCCTCCTCCCATCCTCTTCCATCCCTCCTCCCACCCCTCTTCCATCCCTCCTCCTACACTCCCCCATCTCTCCTCCCCACCCTCTTCCATCTCTCCTCTTACACTCCCCCATCTCTCCTCCCATCCTCTCCATCCCTCCTCACCCT